TTTTTTTTCCTCCGATGCTCTCCCCCATCCCACAGAGGGGCGGGGGGAGTGAGCGAACGGCTGCGTGGTGCTTAGTTGCCAGCCAGGTTAAGCCTCGACATGGTGAAAACCCTTTTTCCCTGGGATAATTAAGAGGGCTCTCAACTCCCTCACCTGCACCAGAATTCATTTGCTGACCTGACTTGGAACTTTAAAACATAAGCATTCAGAGATTGCCGTGTCCAAATTTGGGAGCCCTTCCTATTAAATGAATCTAACTTCCTGGCCTCTTAGCCTGACTTTAGCTGTCCAGAATACAGGTTACAACCTATACAAATTCAAAGGCAGTCAGATACAGCCAGGGCTTACCCTGTTATCGGTACCCAAGTTTCCAAGTTCAAAGCTAGCACCAGCACAGAAAGCTGCCGCGGCACCTCTGATGAAGCGCAGACATAATCCACGGCAGAACTCTAGATATTCACAGCCTATTTAATGAGAGCGGAAAAAGGTTTGAACAACCTTCTGCCATAAAGAGAGTCTAAGACCATGATGTTAAGAGTAGTAGTATGAGATGCAAGATATCCAACGCACATTTCCCCAACATGCTGGAACACTTCTTCTGTCTACAAGCTCCCGCACTGATCACAGTTGTTTGTCCTTCTATTATCCTTTAAATGTCTGCATGATTTTAGCTAGATTTCATTTTCAAGACCAGCAGAACAGGAAACAAGTATTCTCCTGTTGTCTTGAGATGACATCTTGATTAACTGCATGAAGAATACAAGACTGATTAGCTGCCTAAATGATGTCATAATTGGGCAGGTGAAGACAGAATGCAATTTTTACAGATGCAAATTTCAAGAACTTTCAGAGTGCAGAATAGTTTGGCACACCCTCATCAACCCTAGCTATGTCCAATCTCTCCTCCATTACTGTCCATCACGCAGCAATTAAAACCAAGAATGACCCACACAGGCAAGTCTGGGATTTGATTGTTTGGGGTTTTCTTCCTCCCTTGTTTTGATTAAAAACTTTATTTTTTTAATACCCAACTCTTCCACAAATGTAAATCTGAGGCAAGAGGTACTATTGTGCTTGGACTCTTAGGAATTAGTCACACAAAAGACAGTGCTAAGAAGCGAGACAAGGTTGGTAAGGGTTTCTCCAAATATTATCTCGAGGAAACAAACTAAACCAGCTTTCTGGCAGGGGTGCTTCACACCAAAAGCACGCCCGCACACCCGAAAGTTTTTGTATCACCAGCTGGGTGATAAACCACTCCCCCAAAACTTCAGAATAAGCCAAGTAGGAGCATTGCAGAGTATTTACTTCATACCCAAGTCATTTTGATCAGTTACCAGCACCCTTGAAGAAAGAGGTGCTGTGACAGATGACATATGCTTCGTGCCATGCACTACAGGTTCAGGGTTCCGACCTGTCGTCTGGGTGACAAGCACCCTCTCCACCTCCAGCTGCAAGGCAGCTTGCTGAGCTGCCACTCTCCCTATTTACTGTGCGAGCCCTGACGTACAGCCACGATCTGCTGGCATCGTCCTCCAGCTTCTCAAAACACAGCAGCCACAGCTCCTTAATTAACAACGCAGCCGGAGAAGAAGGGAAATGGTTTTCTGTAACAGCTTGCTGGTTAGAACAGCAGTTCCCAAACAGCAGTGCCTGGAGCAGGGCACAGATCGCGCCAATAAATTATTTCAGGCTTATTAGCTGGGCCTCACGCAGGAGACAGCACAGCCACGAGGAGCTATTACTCACTCTTCAAGATCTATCTACTCTTCAAGCCACTGCTGTCGCTCCCTGATGCAGCACCAGCCCTTTTCACCACACTCCCTTGGAACTGATGGAGCTCTGGAGAAAGAGTCATAAACCAAAGGGACAGCCCCAGCGTGGGATAAAAAAAGGGCAACCAGGAGAGAAGACAGAGGCTGGGTGGGGGCTAGTTAGATGTCAGGACCACTGGTGAAAGCATTTGCCAAGAAGCCAGAGCCTGGAGTCCTGCACAGGCTCTGCATGCGGCATTCAAACAGCTCCTACCTTTCCCAGATGAAGACCCCCAGCACGTTACGAGGCTGCAGCACAGACCCTCTCTATTGTTCAGATCTTAGCAGTGTGGTAGCCTACCAAGGATCTGACAGAAGGACATATCTGCATCTTCAGAGGCTGGCACCGAGATGTTTAGTCACCGGCCAAAATGCGTTGCCATGAACCGGCATCAGATAACATGTCCTGGTTCTGAGGGAACTGAGCGAGACAAGAGAGGTAGTAACGTGACAACGCCAAGTTCCCCATCAGCAATATGACACTAAAGGGAACGCCGAGCTACCTACTCTACCCTCTGCACCTGATAATTATCAGTCCATCCAGGAAAGAAACACCGAGAGCTTCTCTGGCCCACCTGATGCACAGCAATGGTCTCTGCTGGTCACTGAGGTAATAAGCAAATAGCAAGAATAATCTTAGTTGTTACCACTTGAATTCTTTAACTGTCACAGCTTGCCAAGTCCAAAGAAAATCCTAACTTAGTCATAGATTGCAGTATTGAGGGAGTGTTCACACAGAAGTTTTTCACTTCTCAAAATCCAACATGAGTCTAAAGATCTGTCTCCTGCTGGGAAAAAAAACCAAACCACCCAAAACCCAAAAAAAGAAACGGCTCTTGACAGTCTCCACTAAACAAGTCCAAACGGGAATTTGCCAAAGGACTGTCCAAGCTGCAGTCCGAAATAGCAGGCGGTGTCCTTTATCCAACCGTTTCCCATGCTATTTTAGTCTCCCTCAGCAGCTTGTAAGCCTGTTGAGGTCGGCACTACAGCTTATCTCTTAGCACCCCCTCTGCTTTCCTAGATTACGCGTCGGCCATCAGAAGGCTTCCTCCTTGACTTAGGGTTGACTTCTCGGTACGCGGCGACTACGCGCTGCGAGACGCAGGGGAGAAGCGCGACGTGCGGCCCCTGGAAGACAGAACACATTGCTCCCTGCACACACACCGCCCCGGAGCCCTCCCCCGCAACTCAGATGAGCCCAAAACCAAAAAACCACAGTATTGAGGGCAAGTTACGTGTAAAAATAAATAGGTAAATAAACCCTGTAACCGTGGCGCTTTTGACGCCAGAACCGGCCCGGCCGCTGCCGGCAAGGGGCCGCCCGGTCTCGGGCACAGCACGGGCCGCTCCGTGGTCTCACAGGGAGCGGAGAAGCAA